CTGTGGGGGACGCGTGCGTGGGAGCAGTGGGCGAGGCCGGCACCCACAGACCAGGCTGCTGGCGACCACCTGGGGAAGGCGAGGGAGAGGCGGCCTGGATGGAAGGGGCTTCTGCTGCTCTCAGTCCCGGTCAGGCCAAGGGAAGGCTGCCCAGTAGAGGCCGGGGGCGAGGGTGTCACGCTTTTGGCACGAGGGCCGGCTGGGCCCGCAGGGGTAGCAGGTGCAGGCAGCCAGACCCCCACAGCGCTTTCCCTTGAAGGGGCATCTCAACAGGTATGTCCTGATCATCAGCACGAGGGGAAATGGAGTCTCGCTCAGCCGCTCGCCTCCCTGGGCCACAGGGCTTATCTGTATACACTCCATGTCTTACGGTATTGCTTGAAAACACGCACGGGCTCCTGCCACATACCGTCGAGTTCCAACTCCAAGGCCAGTGACCATGCGGCCTTTTCCCGATGCAAGAATCCAGAGAGAGATCTCAGGTGGGGTCCTCACCACATGCTGCTCCAGGTGAAAGGGACCTTGCTCGCTCGGAGATGAGCACATTCTGCTGTCTCCCCACTGACACCTATGGCCTGACGTGGGTCACATCACACATTTATGGGGGACGCTACTACGAACCAGACCAAGTCCCTGTAAGTGCGAAGGTATTGCTTCAAGGCCCTGCACAAACGTCCCCTCCTCTGAGGCCTCAGCGTCACAGACAGAACTAATGCCCCCTTCCCACTGCAATCCGCTGACCACGAACGCAGGCTCTGTCATGCTGCATATGGTGTTAACTCACCGAGTCCCGTCTCTGCCCGCGTGTTTCTCCAGCTTACACATCCAGCAGAGGCGTCTGTTCCTATGGGCGTGTAAGACATTATGACATTTATGTGGAAGGAACAATCTGGGTCTTCATAGAATCTCATGCAATGGCAACAAACCACTCAGTCCACATTTACTGGCACTCAGTCTGTGTAGGGGTGTGTGTGTGTGTGTGTGTGTGTGTGTGTGTGGTGGGGAAGAGTCATGTCACACACGCCCCGACTCCTATAATTCTTCTTTCCGTCAACCGCACTGCTTGTGAATTCAAAACACCATTCACGCTTGCACCCCTTTTAGGGCCCTTGATCTGAGGGAATGGGGAATGTATCAAACTCACAGACTCTTGATTAATTTCCTCTTCTTCGCAAAGGTGAGAGCGGACAATGGATTAGCGAGTTACATCTATTTTGAATATAACAGGTTTGATTATCTGGGGTCTGTGATCATTCTGGATTTTAGAAACACGAAGTTCATTACCACGAGCCAATCCTACATTTACGAAAGAACCAGAGAAGGCCAAAATTCCACTTGTAAAATCATTTTATTGGTATAAATATACATATGAATAAAATACCTCAGCCTGTAATGTAAGTGAATATTTGTGAAATGTCTTAAAAAGAGTAGTGTTTTGATTTTTTTTTACAGGTGTCAAAGTATTCTTAAAATCATACATTAAAAGCTAATATGCAGACAGAAATTATAGGCCTTCAAAAAACATGAATATTCATAAAACCTCATTCCGATCAACTATGTACATGAATCCGGGCACATGGTAAGATCAGCCGTGGGCCTCTTTCACCCTGTTCTTAACTGGGCTCCTGGATGCTATCGCGAAGGTCACCGACCAAACTTACGTGGACAGTTCCACATCAGGAAGGAAGAAGTTCCCCAGGGGAGAACGTAAAAACCATAGCCAAGATCTAATATATATAATTTATACAAATTATTTATTAGTGTGCTCTGTTAATATACTTACAATGTGCAATTGCATACATCAAGAATAAATTGCTCTCTCGAGTCAAGTGCAGATCTGACACGGGTCCATGCAGCGGTACCCCACCGTCAGCCGATGGTGATACTCGTGTGAGGATGTATCCGGGTACTTGGATTACTTCCCCAAACTCCTCTCGCGGGGCACACTGTCGCTGCCTCCGAGAAATTCCAGTAGGGCCCATGGAATAATTGCTGGCTTTCACTAAAGGCATATGGAGGAATGCTTCGGAATCAAATGCCGAGGGTCGGGAGAAGACGAAACAAATGTACTTTGATTACCAAAAAACCCAAATGGGTCTGTTTGTTTTCAAAAGGCAAGTAAAGAAAAGAAGGGAAAGGAAAAGAGCACCGAGAGAAGAACTCAGGAGGAAGCGTTGCCCTTGACTGCTCTCTAACGGCTAACAAAGCACCCCTGCACTGAGACTTGTGCACCGGGGACCTTTACACAAAAATAAACTCTCTCTCCGCTTCTTCCCCAGAGTCGCTAGATTTGCCGCCTTGGTGGCCGTCTCTACTGGAGGACCACGGCTTCTGTTCTGGATACTCCTGGGCCTGCTGGCCCCAGCTTCTCCTTGAAACTGGAATGGAAAGGGGAAGATGTCATTACGGTTGGTAGGGTACAATCGACGGCCTGACCGATAGTGGGGGGAGATGCAGGGGCCCCGAGGGGCGGGAGGAACTTGCTAGAAACGACTTACCAGCTACGTTTAGAGACTCGAGGCAGAAATGAGAAACAAACCAACAAAAACAGAAGCAAATCAAAATGAGAAAACATAAAAGCAGGCCATGAGAGGGCAAAGCTCTCACGGCCGTGGTTGAGAATCTGGGGGTGCTACGGACAGGGGAACTGATGGGGGGCCCTCCGACCCCTCACGCACAGCCGCCCCTCGTGCGGCCAAGGCAACAGGACAGACAGAGCCTGGCAGAGGCGCCGCTGGACAGATGTCCCACCTGATGCCTTCTGCCACCATCTAGACCTGGCTTTCTCTGCTCTGGGGCCACGACACGAGGAAGGACCCAGCAAACCTCAGTTCCTCGCGCTAGGAAGTGAACGGTTCAAAGCCTTGTGAGAACAAATGAATACTGCCTCGGGTGCGGTCAGTCCTCTTGGAACCAGCCTCCAGGTGACAGAACTGTCATCATGGCTGCCTGCTCTGATCCCATATAAATATGAAGGACCCCCCCGCAACTTCACACAGCCCTGAAGGGAGGGGTGGAGAATTACTGGGCTGGAGCCTTTGTTATGTGTCCCGTCGGGCATGCGTGCTTCAGGACTGATACACCTCACAACGCCCTGGCGGGGAGGTCTTGTAAAATGTGGAATTTGGATTTAAACGAGACCTCTCCCTGCAAAGTGCATGTTCTTGACAACTAGATCAGAGCTTCGCGGGTACCGTACCTCAGGGCGATTAAGGCTTATTACATATTACTCACCGAATCTTTTGTATAGATACCACTTAAGCCAAAAATACCAAGCCCCACACTTTGTGTGGCTTGAAAGCAGACGAAAGCTACCTCGTCACTCAGAAGTTCAAATTATCCAACTAGGAACACAGGCCTGGAAAGCCACAGGATCCCGCTGATGCTTCTAATGACCTTGACTTTGGCAATTATGCTAAAAACTCCTCTGGCCAGGAACTGGCTATTCAAATGCTTAATCCATTAAAGAGCGGTTCAGGAAGTAAAAGCTCCTGAAACCTGATAGTTAAAATGCAAACATAATAAAGTATTTCTCTTGCCAATCTGGTTGTGGGGCCAGATTCTGATCTCCAGACAATAAAAACTTAAATGTAGTTAATTACATTAAATGGAAACCATCCACCCTTCTCAAGAGGATAAACTTCTCAAATCTCATTGTAAAAATAAGTAATTTTTTAAAAGCCTGACCTCTTTTTGCCTAACGCCTTGGAGCAAATTCTCAGATGGAAGGGAAAAGCAAAAAATATTACAACTGATTTTATTTTTTCGCTTGAGTCGTGTAAAAAAATAATAAACGTCCTTTGAAAGTTGTCAACCAATCAGGTTTGGGGGCAAAGGTAAATAATTTTCTAAAAATGGCTTGTTTTTTAACACAAAATCCATTTGAGAGTAATCTACAAAGAACTCTCTAAGTTTTCAGCTTCTGCATGTGCTACAACCAGGAGGAAGGACAGCAGATTTCTCATCATCTCCAAGCCACTTCGCAATAATCTGACCTCAAAGTAGAGCACTGCTAGTGAAATCTTGCTAGAAAAATTTATTCATTCCCTTTTAAAACCAACATGAGCTGTTCCTGTGTATCAAGTGACTCAAAAACAAATTTCCGACGCTACAGGTTCAAAAGAAGAACCCAAAATGGTGATATACTGCTTATTTGACTTCAGAGCAACCACGTTGGCTCTAATTCTTAGATTCAAAAGCTTTCCATTCCGCCAGTATTTTAGCTTCCTCAAAATCCCAGGGCCTCATTCATGGTCTGTGAAATCAGAGGACTCTCTAAAAATGGACACATTCATGCCATCCAAAATGTTTATGTCGCAGGTAAAAAACAAAAGCACCCTGGATGGACCCAGGTCGCTGGAGCGCAGCTAACTGAAATTCAGAGAGATCTCACATAGCGGTCTTCCGGCAGAAAGCAGACCGTCCTTCAATCTGCATCGTTAACAAGTTAACAGACTGGTTTCTGGGTCGGTGACATACGCCCAATACGAGTCACGAAGGCACAAATTTTAATGCGTCCAACATAGTCACTGAGAGGAATAATAATATGGCCTTTCTAGAGGCCCCACAAAGCACTTCCCTTCACTGACGCTATTTAAAAATTCACTGATTAAACTCTTGTGGATGTGAGTGGGATCCCGAGACTAGTCCCAGGCTGGCATTTCCTTAGCGTTACAAGGAGGTGCGTGAGTGGACAGGAGACCGAGGCAGGTGAGATCAGGGACCTAAAATCACACCAGTGGCCAATGCACTCTCTCTCCCAGCCTCCCACCTTCTCATTAGTCCAGATCGCTGGTAGGAACAACTTTGTAGGGGGAATGTTCTTTGTTAAGTTAGTTTTCCAGTCCTTAGGCAGCATCTATTTGACTGCATATAATTAGGATGCTAATTACAATTATATTGAAGTAGGTTTGGTCAAGATCCCACTGACGAATAGTCCCAATAAGATTACGTCTGCTTGAAACTTAAAACTCTAGAAGTTATTCTAAAATATAAGATTCAGGGGGCGCCTGTGTGGCTCAGTTGGTTCAGCATCCGACTCTTGATTTCTGCTCAGGTCACGATCTCACAGTTTGTGGATTTGAGCCCCATGTCAGGCTCTGTGCTGACTGCACAGAGCCTGCTTGGGATTCTCTCTCTTCCTCTCTCTCTGCCCCTCCCCTGCTGGCACGCTCTTTCTCTCTCAAAACAACAAACAAACAAACAAACATTTACAAAATAAATAAGTGGAATATAAAATTCAGGCTTTTTACTAATTCAGATGAACCTTCTCCTGAGCAGCCTGACTTAATGGTTGACTTTATACAGGATAAAGAAAGTCAGGTTGCCTTACTACACGTCCTCAATGCAAGTATTCACACCGTTAACGTGCTGGGGCGTCTCTGTGTGTCTGTAGATGTGTTTGGTGCCATCCCACAAACCATTAAAATGATAAAAAAAAAAAAAAGTGCTTAAGTCAACAGGCTATTCAACATAAACACTGTGTGTATACTCACATCCCGTCTACGGTGGCAATGATTGGTGCAGGAAGGATTAAACGTGAAATCTGTCATTCTGGAAGATGATTTGACTTTGCATATATACATGTATCATATACACACAGACACACGTGCTAATTTTAAAGCTTCCAAAATGTGCACATGAATTTGGAATTAGAGATGCATTTGAAAATTTGAGCTCTTCTCCATTTTAAGTCCCACCGACATCCATCTTTCCCACCAGGAAGACGAGAGGACCTTAAAAATAATATTCGGTAGCCAGCCCTGATGTTTTTATACTTTCTTGGCAGGAGCCAAAACTGCTGACCAATGGTTAAATTTCTTTTGAAGAACTCATACCGGGGTAGCAGAATCCAGATCTGGTGAAAAAAAGTAGGACACAGCACTGGCTGACAGACCGTAAGCCACAGCCAGATATTTTGCTTGCTTGGTTATAGGTTGGATTATGGAAGAAGCAAGTGACATATAAAAGACATCTCAGAGTAAGATGGCCCGAACAAGCAGGGTACATCATAATATATACAAAGCCAAACCAACTATTTTCTTCAAGAAAACAGGACATACTCGAATGAAAACATCACAGCTTATAATTAAATGCAAGACGGGAAAGGGCACGAGATTCAGAAGTTACAGATATTTCCAGTAAAAGAAAGCAAGCATTTTACCTGTCCGGTCAATACTAAAATAGCCACACAATTAAAACAACAACCACGATAAAAATATGCAGCATGCTTTGAGAACAACAGCTTCTGTTTGTCACACGGATACACGATTTAGGAAAATAAGAAAGCTGTTTTAGCTTACACGAAGCCGCTCCTGAAAGATTTAAAGGAAAGTACACAGCACGGGCTAACAGAATTGCTCTGCTAAATGCCGTCTGTTAACCGGGAACTATTCAGAAAGCAGACTGCTTTGGAATTCTCAAGGATGAAGACAGGCAGGTGGGGGAATCGGCACTAACAAAACAGTATTAAAATATGTGACATAAAATTACTTTAATTGAAGCTCCTGTAAAAACTACTTTTTTGGTTCCTGTTGCTATTTCCAGAAATCAGGGCAGAAAAGCAAACACAAGATGGTCCTGTTTAATTCCATCACACTGATACAGCCCATCGGAGGGAGAACTGTAAGTCCAAGAGGTGGTGGAAAAATCTGAGCCAGGCACAGAACTTCTTGCCTTCCTATGATCTGGCTTATTCCTGTGGCCAACCTTTTTGTCCTATCTCAAAGCCTTCCTGCAGGACTGGTGCGGTCCTGGGGCTGGTCTCCTTGTGTGTTACATGAAGCGCTTTCAGTGGCTTCTGGGAAGAAGGAACACTGTGCTCCATCAAGGTGCTTTGTTAGGTAACCAAGTGATAGAAGTCGACCGACACGATAGTTCAAATGTAAATTTCCCAAATCTAGAAACATCTATGTGACCTTCTCAAAAGGGGCAATACAGAGACAGGGCTTCTGATTTAATACGCTCTACAAATAACCCGGCCTCTCTTCAGAAAACAAATGTCTTAAGTGTTCGTTTATGTGACTTTTCTGTCACTTGAAGATAACAGGTTTTTCTGAAAATATCAGAGAAAATCTCTTAGGAGACGTATTGTAAGCACGTGTCTGTAAACGAGTCTACCACGCAGGAAATCCGGGTGCGTGTGTTCCAACCAAACTTTATTTACAAAACCCAAGTGGGTCATCGCGTTCGTTTGTTTCTTACAGGGTCAAACATAGGATTCCTCGGTAGTGTCCGTGACATCACTGGTATTTATTGATTTTAAATTTTTAATTGAAGTCTGGTTGCCATATAACATTACGTTTGTTTTAGGGAGTCCTTTAAAAAAGTGAAGGGCCAAGTCAGTTGTTTTTTCTCCGGCAGGCGCTACCTGGCCCAACCAGAATGTTCATCTGTGACCTATAGACTTCACTCTGTGCTGTGGGGCGTGTCCTTAGCCCTACCAGCTCCACCCCATTAGCTAGCGGTGGAGGGGGGGGGGTGGGTGGGTGGCGTAGATCGCCAGGCAGGTCGGAGTGCACAACTCATCCAACGGTACTGGCCAAGAAAGCTGGCCCCAAATGTTGCCCGAGGGAGACAGCAGATGCCTTCTGGCTGCTGTTTTGGTTTGTAAACCTCTGTCCGGGAAAGTCCTCAAAGACAACAGTTCCCACCGGAGGCGCCGTAATGCAGCCGGTTGTGAAGCCGTAAGGTGGGTCTCGTAGGAGGTGTGTTATCCGTAACAAGGTGCGGAAGTTTCAGAATGCTTTATCCTTTTGCAAGAAAGAGAAGTTATTCCTATAATCGGGTCACTTCCATTAACTTGCCGTGTGGGGCGCTTTCTCAGAAGGCCGTGACGGGCACGGAGTTGCAGCTAGAATTCTGGGCCACATACTTCATCCTTGGGAGCCTAAATACACTCACGTATTAACCCCTGACAGGTTTACCGGAAGAAAAGTGCCCTGTTTCAAGGGAAAAAGTACTTTAAAGCCATGTCACATATCAGAATATTCTACCTCTTTTTTTTCCCCCTTTTATGATACTAAGACTTCCTTTCAAAGATTTTCAAGTCGGATTTATAAAGAAAGTTATTAACCAGCAAGATCAGAAGTGCGGAGTCACAGGAAAGACATTTCCTCTCTGAATCAGCGAGGCTTGCTCTAACATTTCCCACTGGAGTTCGAAGCCAATTTGAAATTAACAGTTTGAAATTGACAAAGCCTTTTTTGTCTCCTGGGACGGTCTTCACCTGAACGGAACACGACAGAACTCACCACCGTGTCTCGCGGAAGGCAGATGGCAAAAAGCAACGGCTGTAAAATAGAATCAACTGTCCTTAGAGGTTGAGACCCTTAACTGGTACTTTTCCTTTCTCACTGAAGGGTCATAAAAAGTCCAATGAAAGGTCGCGGGCATTTCACTGATCCTTTCCTAAAACAGCGTCAGGTAAGGTGTTGGGCCAATACCTTCTAAAGGCAGAAACTGCACTCTAAGAATTTCTTCCCCAATCCCAATTACAGTCGAACAGAAGAGTATAGCGAGACCAAGAGAACAGGAGGCATGACCCATGTGTAAACCCACAGGATCACGAAAAGCAGAGGGGACAAATCACCCCACGCCAGTAACTCGATCCTCCTTGGTCGAGTTTGAAAGTTTAGATTTTGAAGTCGATACTCTCTGCCCCAAAGGGAAGGACCATCCTGTTGCCATTTAGAAAACCAACATGGGTTGTAGGAATAATCCCCGAGCCGGTCCCGGGATAGAAGTTACTCAATTAAAGTTTGTTTTTGTTAGTGCCAATTCATGAGCTTTGGGTCAGTGAAGGGATGATAAGCGAAGGCTCTAACCATTTGTTGGCTGTGACTTCCTGTGCCCAACTGCCTTCACCTCCTCTTCTGCAATCGTGGAGTACAGTTTTGAAGATCTTTTCCCGCCACTGGAAGGCTTGCCAGTGTCATGATCTGAATGTCTTTTGTAATAATCTCCTCTTTGCACTACTGAGGAAAAGGGATTCGTTTTACCCTTTACATTAGCAAATACATCGATGTGTTGACATTAATATTAAAGACTATTAAGAATTAAATATCCGAGAACCCGCCCCACTTAGGCTTTCGGGAACCTACAGCATTGGTCCCGCACACACCATCATCTACAGAATTCAACAGCCAACATTATGGAAATGTGGTGCAAAATGAGGTGAGCTCCGAGTCTGCCCCCAAAAAGGTGCTAACAAAAGGCCCCCGTGGTATCACTTTGATTCCAGGATGGATTAACGAAAATCACATTCACTATGGAATAATCCAGGAGAATCAGAGCCATTTACCTGTTTCAGAAATGAGTTGGGCACGCTAGTCCAAAGGGAGGCACAGAACAAGGAAATGAAGTAACCAGCATGAATAACGTACAAGAAAATAGGAAGGAGCACATCAGGAACGTTTTCTAAAGAAAAAGACAGGGCTCACAAGTGGCTGTCATCCCCGGGCCGGCGCTGCCGATGAGCTAATTAATAAACTGAAGTCAGAGTCTTAGCACCTTGGACATTTACAGGCTGTTCTCAGACGGCATGTGTATTTCAACTCCATTTCAATACCAAGTGACACCACCAGGATGATCTCTGTGCTTAACTTATTGCGGATCCCAGGGGCAAGCTCTACAGTCCCCACCTAGAAAGATGGGGGCACGAGTCATCCATGGTGTTTGCTCTCAAGGGGGAACGAGGAAAGGAGTCACACATCTACCCCAGAGCTCGGAAATGTCTGAGGAGCAACTTAGTTTCTCAGGAAAGAACACAGGACTTTTCCAAAGCAGCTAAGGGTATGCCAGTGGCTTCCACTCTTCACCCTCCGTGGCACCCCTTCGTACTCAGGGGGCTGGTGGGTTACTCGAGCCCTTGTTTGTAATCATATAGGCATCTAGAAAACATCGCTTTTCATACACGTTAAGCAATCTTCAAAACCTCCTTGTAAGTAAAGACACAAAGCAGTTGCAGAAAGAAGGGGAAATGAAGGCAGAGTGGGGGAGGGGCTGGCTCAAGTCGGTCTGACTCGGAGGTTCCTTTTTCTACACCAAGACTCGCGAAGGCTGTGGCTCTAACGCCAGACCCTCTATTTACTCATCCTGTGTAAAGTAACTGTAGGCGCTAGCTATCTTTCACGGCTTTGGCTGCTCAGTTTGACATGAGTGGTTTATCAGCTTTGGTCAAATCCCTACCTCCTTTTATTTACAGCTAATAGGTGAGGGAAGCTTGGACCCACCAAATGAATCTGCAGGATGGAGAGGAGAAAGCAGGCAGTGTTATTTTTTTTGTTGCTAATCATTTATTTTTATTATTCTCCTAAGTCACAAAGATAGTAGTCAGAAATACTCTCCATTAACTTCAACACAAGACTGCCATTAATAAAACAGGCCAGTGGAGGAAGATGTCAAAGCCAGAAAGGTCAAGGAATTCTAAAAGCATCAAACATCTAAAATAAAACAAAGGCAGCCTCAAACCATAATGAGAGTCATCTGGTCATGGGTAATGACTCGTGGGGCTCCGGAATTTCTTCATCAGCGGGGCTTAGAGATGGCAATTATACTTTATGGAGGGTAGAACCCAAAAGTCAACAGTGTATTTAACAGAGCGTGGGAGGTGGGTGACAGAAATGCAGGGGTGCTGAGGCCACCCTCCACTCATAACTCTTGATCTGATTCTGGGAGATGGGCACCCACGTCCCAGGATTATCTTGCTCTGCTCCCAGCAGATTAAAGAGGAGCAAAGCTGGCCCAATGACGCCCTGAAAGCGTCCAGGCAGGTGCCTGGGGAATAAGGCATGTCTGACTTCATGACTAAGCGAGTGTAATGAGCTACGAGTCTCCCCCCCACCCCCCCACCCCCAGCCTGCGGGGGCTGCTTATGAAGCACAGTGATGGTAATTCACAACCGGGGAAGAGTTCTGGGAAATAATGAGACCTAGAAGCCTGTAAGCGGCACCCAATGAGTCACAAAATATTTAAGGCACTCCGCACCTGCTGGGAGCCAGTTCAGGAGCGCCTAGTGATTACAAAGAAGGTAAACCTTGGGTTGGGATGTCTGCTACGCTTTCATTCTGTGTATACGGTCCTCTGTGAAGATCCAATGTCATCGATAAGGTTGAATCAAGCTTCTGAACTAGGAAACTGCTCTGGTCCCAGAAGTTTAGTCCAAGGAATGCTGACTTAAACTCTAGGATACTCGTCAAGACCAGGGTTAATTCCCTTCTCTTCAAAGGACTCTCCTTGGAGAAAGCTAACAGAGAGAAAACATTTCTTACCTTCCTGGGAAAGTGTCCTGGGACTGGGCTGGGGGCTAATCTGCCCATCTCTCTCCTTGTCCGAAGGAACTTTTTTCAGGACAGGTGGGAGAAGAGCAATTTTCGACGAGCCAGGGCTGGATGGGGAGTCCGGGATGTCCTCTAGGGAGACACAAACGCATGAGTCAAGCAGTTGCACAAGCTGGATTCCTAAAACATAAGCCAGGTTAATCTTGAAATACGAACGGCCAATCACTTTTAAAAAGTATCCTAGAAGTTTTCTGGCCAAGACGGAGTGTCATGTCTCTGCAACTAACAGCTATATACAGTAGGGAGAAAAATAACTGAAACTTATAAACGGTTACAATCTCTAAAACTCACAGACAGATGTGAATTTATGTCGCTGACACGGAATTTCAGTGAGCTGATATTTGAAAAGGACGCTGCCAGTAAGTCAATGTTCCTTTGCCTCAGACACAGAGGCTGTCTGATTTTCTTAAAATACGTGATATTTATAACCCACTGCCTTTGCCTGTTGTCCAGTACAGTGGTCACGTCACACGTACACACGTGGACACGTAGGAACGCAGGCACACGTACCTATATATCCATACTGAGACCACTGAGAATAACTTGGAATCAATGGGCTTTTATTTTATTTAAAAAAAAAAAAATTTTTTTTCTTAATGTTTTTATTTATTTTTGAGACAGAGAAAAACAGCATGAGCAGGGAAGGGGCAGAGAGAGAGGGAGACACAGAATCGGAAGCAGGCTCCAGGCTCTGAGCCATCAGCACAAGAGCCCGATGCGGGACCGAACTCACAGACCGCAAGATCATGACCTGAGCCGAAGTCGGACGGTCAACTGACTGAGCCACCCAGGTGCCCCTCAATGGGCTTTTAGAACCAGAAGGACTTTGGTGACCACTGTACAAATGAAGAGATTAAATGACCCGCTGAGGGAAAATGACAAAACTTCTAGGGTTAGAACTCTAGTCTCTTAATTCTAAAGGCGACTTACTTCATTCTTTCTGTAAGGATTTACTGAACTGCGCCCTTTTCTCCGCACTATTTTCTGCAAGGTTATTTGAGCTTGGTGTGTGTAGGTGTGCGTGCACATGCGTGTGCGTGTGTGTACAGAGGGTTCTCTTCAGCCTTCGCCTTCCAATCCAACTCTCCTCTCTGCGTCACTATACACACAGGCTGTCACCTAACACCGTGGAAGACCTCTCCCTGCTTGGGGCGGTCTCTCAGAGCCGAGGAAAGGAAAGGAGGTGGCATATTTGAAAATGCCTGAATTCTCAAGCGCTACGAAAACAAACGAGTGTGCTAACATAATTCTCGACAGACTAAGTGCTAAGAAATGAACGGACACATTTAACAAATTGAAAACAGAAGCTCCTTGCAACAGAGTATTGGGAATCCGGCTGGTTTTGCATTTGGAATTGGCCGCTGGGGAGCTAAAGTACAAACGAGATCAGGTTCGTCTTAGAACTGTTTCCTTACCGCAGACGAGGGATACACTTTGCTGATGTTTTATTATTATTTTATGCCTTCTCTCTCTCCACTCTATCATGAAGGTATCTTGTGTTGCTCCAAGAAATTTTTTGTTCCCTATCATAACTTTGGTCTGCAAAGAGGTTTGAGCAGAATTAGGCATCTGCTAAGTGATCTGCTTCAAGGGTCGGCTGCTGGGGGGTGACCGCAGGGTGTCTCTCTGTGGCTGCTCTTTGGAGACTGTGCACCGGGTTTCTTGAGGGACCAATGGGCTGTGAAGACCGGAGGGCATTAACCAGCTAGCCGCTTGGTGAATGAGAGGCATGTTTGAGGGAAAACGGGAAAGACCCACAAGCGGAATGAGTTTGGACGCCTGCGACCTTATCTTTTCTCATTCTACCCAATCCTCTGCGTGTTGGCGAAGGACTACGATGAGGCGTGCGTCTTACTTTCTAGTGTGCACGCCCGTGGGAGTGGTCACCCCTACAGCTGGGGGTCCTAAGGTCCGGCTACCGCTCACCAGCCGTGTGGCATGACAAACTTGAGTGTCCCTGGGCCCCACACTCCACATCTGTGGAACGGAGCTGTGGTGAGGACATTAGGAGTTTATCCACATAAAGCACTTAGCACACGGCCTGGCACAGAGTTAAGATTAGCAGAGATGGGGCGCCTGGGCGGCTCGGCCGGTGAAGCGGCTGACTCTTGATTTCAGCTCAGGTCATGATCTCACGGTTCGCGAGTTCGAGCCCTCCATCGGGCTCTGCGCTGACAGTGCGGAGCCTGCTTGGGATTCTCTCTCTCTCAAAATAAAAAATAAACATTTTTTACAAAAGCATTAGCCGTGATGATGATGGGCATAATCTGACTGTATATCTCTACCTTATTTGCCTATCATTACGGGGGAAAAAAGTGAAGATGCGATATGGGGTTCAATATATTATCCACTCTATTTTTGCCAATGTTTAAAAAATTTTTTAAATAGACTGTTGGAGAAAAACAAAGAAAAAAAAAACCGTACAGGGAAGAACTAATGCAGGAGAGAATAAGGCAGAGGCCCATCCATTTCTAAGATTTTTAAGCTTCTTCTATCCTTAGGTTTTCTAAACCGAGAGCCAGCAAGCTTTTTCTGTAAAGGGCCAAACCTAAGTGTTCAGGGTCTGCAGGCCAACGGCCTCTGTCACAACTACTCAACTCTGCCGTCTTAGCGCAAAAGCTAATACAAACGGCACAGCTGTGTGCCGGTGACACTGTATTTACAAAAACAGGCCCCTGGTTTGCCAAGCCCTGTTCTAAACCCTCAATATTTCACAGAATCTGGGGCGAAAGGAGAGGAACTTACGCTTCCTTATTTGTGTAGGCCCTGGAGACCGATCTCAGAAAGCTCAATCAAGCGACTGGGTCAACACAAGACTGTTTCCTCCCGTGGCCCTCCCACCTGCCACCCGTATGCAGGGACAGTCTCAGAAACTCTTCAGCCTTTGCCCCTTTTGAAGCCCCTCCCACGGACCCCCTGCGCCCGCGTTCGCCAGTAGCCCCGGGAACCACCTGTGAGTCCCGATCCAGCACCCTCCGGAGGCCAGCCGGGCACGGGGCCACTCGCTGCCCAGTAAGACCCTTACCAGGCCGCGAGGCGGTTCTTGGTTTCTGCGGGATAGTGGGGCGTGCCGCCAGGCTGGGTTTGGGGGCCTGCGGCAGGGGCTTCGGGCTGGCGGGCGTGTTGGACGAGCTCCGGGGCCTGGAACCCGCGTCCACTTTGGGATCCGCTTTGGCGTTCTTTTCTGGTGTTCCCAGACCAAAGCGGTTCTCCGGAACACCTGGGTGTGGCTTAGGCACTAAAATAAAAACAGGTACAGAGAGCACGCTTTATGAGCAAAATCAGAGGCGGAAAAAACTGATCACTGGGAGCGAGGAAGGGTCCTGCTCTCGACTGCCATGCCCACTTCTGCTCACGTCTCCTCGCAGGTATTTCAGAACAGAACGTGTTTTTCTACATGCTCTTCGAGTCCACTCACGCTGGCGGAAGACGACAATGTTTGCGGGAAAGCAGCGTACTTGGTGGTACCCTTCCCATCACTCCTGACCACCCCCCAGATGCAAGCCTAAGTTCAAGTGTGTCCACGTCCCTACTAACGTCCAGAGGGGACGCGGTGCTCAGTGCGCTAGATCTTTCTCAGGTCTGGCACGAGGAAGGTACAGGTATATGACCGCCTGTGGGTGCCTCGGTTCTGGACAAGCATCAGCAGGTAGGGGTCTGGCTGCAAGCCCTCAGTGACGAGGGCTGCGCGACATCCATCACCTCGCATTTAGCGAGAACCGTGACGATGTCACCTCATCTCGCACCCCTGCCCTGTTGCTGCCTGAAGCGTCTAGACCACAGGCGGAAACAAGCTGGTTAAATAACGAGCTACATTCCGGCTCTCACGGCATAAAGATTCTGGGGCTCAACCCAGGAATCTCAAACAGCAAAGTGAGGTTTCTGACACGCAATTTGTGAGTTACTCTCCGTTTCCACCAGAGGTGCCGTATGATTCTGCTACACCTGCCAAGGATATCGGTGCAGAAAGGAAAGAACACTCCCTCGTGTCAAACAAATGGGCCACCTTCCACCTACCGTGTATGGCTTCTTTCTAACGTCAGCCCTGTCCCCGCCTCCCCCGCCCCTCCAACGCCCACAGCTGGGGAGTTCCTCTCAAAGAGGTCTCCTCCCTTTGGCAAACTGGAAAAGGTGCGCTGTCCAGGCGCGTGGCTGCAGGGATGGGGACATGCCCCGGGCTGACCTGCGGCAGGTGAGGAAATGTCTTTCGGTGCCAGCTGAGAACCGTGACGCAGAAACCTATTCTCACACCCCGTTTTTATTTTTCTCCTGCGAATGACGTGAGGCTCCTGGAACCGGAAGCTGAGCGCCTTTTCCGACGGGGCGACGGCAATCGCCGGACTTACCTGCCCCACCTGCATCCAACCGCTCTGTGCTGCCCAGGCCGGAAGAATCCTGAGACGCTGCATCATTCCCAAGCTTCTAGAAAAGTCAAGCACACGGCCCCCCAAAAGTGCATTTTTGTTTAAAATGTAAGAAAAAGAACAAAGCAGATAATAAACGACAACAAATAGCGGCCCCTTTACCACTGTCACACCGACCGTGTCCGGCCTGTCACCCTGAGGGCCTCCTCCTGGGACACGGTTCTGAGGAGTAAGTTGTGTTCTGGGTTTACAGTCAGGCCTCCGGGGTCCCAAGTGTGGCCAGTTCCCACGGGTGACAGGTGCGTGGGTTCCGGGGAAGCCAGTGGGCTCGCTGATGTCTCCTGTTTCCTGTGGGTTTTTTGTGGAACACCTACGTGTTCTCTGCAGCCCGATGCTCCCAGCAATGGGGCACGGACACTCTGTAAGGTGACAGGACCCTCTCCAAGCTGGGTTCCAACAATCAAGTGTTAAAAGCAGCGGAAACCTTTTCACCCTGACGTACAAAACAGGTGAAAAGGGGCCCAACACGGGCAGGGTCTTCCTTGTCACGGAGCCAGAACCACAGGGACACAGACCGACGGTTCAGGAGGCAGCGGAGGGACAGGCCGGAATTAATTTAAAAAACCCAAGAACTTCAGGCAAAGGGGTTTGTGATGGCAAAGGGGTTTGTGACGGCAAAGGTGGGGAAGGTTGTCTCAGCCGGAGCTGTGACTTGTGAGGCCGGGAATCAGCCTCGTGTGGTGCAGAAAGTCCCCCTGAGACCGAGGCATTTAGACACAAAAAGTCCCATGTAAAGAAAAAGCTAGTGTTTGCTACCAAGAATCCTACTGACAATGATAATCTGCATC